GAGAGYAAAACAGACGTTATCCTACAAAAACAGTACAAAAATAACACTCTCACTGCATCAGTTSCTGAATAAATAAACGCCAAACGCTAGCTGCAAAAACAACMTCGGAATTTTGRAAAAYTRTCAAAAAATGTCTGATGATGACTAGAAAAAAATAGAAACGCCTGCCACTTGTAGAACAAATTTTACCTTACAAAACACCACCAAAACTGACTTCTTGGCTTCGCAAGTTTCAGAGGAAATAAATGCTGAATTCCGACGTGCAAAAATCACCAARAAAACCAGACACAAATTTAATTTTTTTTTCGATAATTGCTTGATGATGAGTTGATGACTAAAAATCAAACCTTTAAACACCTGTAAAACAGACTTTACCGCTTCACTAGTTCTCAAATCAATGAATATCAAACTCCGGTCTGCAAAAGCAACCTCRWAAATMAAGAAATCGTCAAAAATGGCCTGATGATGACTGAAAATCGAAACGTTGTCGACATATAGAAGGGACKTTGCCCTATATTGTGCATGCAGAACTTTCTCAATTAACCAGTTATAAAGAACGTAATTGATAAATTCCTGTCTCCAAAAATAACTGCAAACCCGAACGTGATTTTGTAAAATTCTTGAAGACTTCTTGATGACGGCCGAAAATCGAAACTTTTCACACTGGTAGAAAAGACGCTGCCTTACAAAAGCAAATCTTTCGCTTCGTGAGTTTCGGCGTAAATAATACCAAACTTCGTCCAGTAAAAACAATCTAGCAGTTGTGAAAAATTGTCGAAAATTTCCTGATGATGACTGAAAATCGAAACTTTGTCGCCTTTTTTTATTGCTACGAAATTTAGTTTCTCGCTTCGCAAATTACAGAGTGAATAAATGCCAAATTCCCRCCCACAAAAACCATCACGAAAACCCGACGCGATTTTGATAAATTCTCAAAAATTGCCTAATCATGACCGAAAAATCGGAACTTTTGTCACTTAGAACAGACTTTGCCCTACAAAACGCATACAAAAGGGACTTTCTGATTTCATTATTTCCTGGATAAATAAATGCCYAACTCCGGCCTGTAAAAATGAACTCGAAGTCTGAAAAAATGGTCAARAAGCTCTTGTTAAAAATATTGCAAATACAACAATAATAATTAATTAAAATTAATTCTGATAAACTGTCGGAAGTATCAGTCAAATGCTTCTGACCTAATYGATCTTGCCTTYGAAAAGACCCTGAGAGCTGAACACCCTATATATTTTTGCGTCAAAGTTTTCCGTCATTCAATGAAAAATTCCTCATCAAGGCCAATAGCCGAAGCTATCAAGGAGCAAAAAGAAGCTGTTGCCTAAAAGAAAGCAAGTACCAAAAATGTGGATAAAATCGAAAGAATCAGTGAATTAGTGATCACCAGAAGAGCATTAAATACTTGTTTTATAGTCCGATCTAATATTGTTTTCCATCAGCGTTTTCAACCTTTTTGAAAAACTTCACGTTTATGTGTATTTCTTGAGATACGTGCCTTACAAAAGTGTCCTCCTCCATTGTTGCATTCGAAAAGCAACAACTTAAATGGGCCTTAAGAATTTCGCGTTCAATCGATAGATACTACAGAAATGACGATTTTTTCAGAACTGGAAACAGCGTCAAAAAAAAGAAAAAAAAAATTGGGACTTTTGCAATCAGTTCTTTAAACTCTGCTTGCAAATTGAAAAGGTTGAATGAACACATCCTGAATGAATCTTCTTCAGCAAACAGCATTCAGGCGTGTCACTGCTTCAGATGAAGCCACTTTTAATTTAAGTAGTACCATTTAATGCTCCAAAATCCTTATCAACTTAACACTATTAGGCTCCTGATGGCCCCGTTTCCTTTGACGGAGCTAATAAATCAGTGGTTTAGAAGAGAAAAAGCAATTGTGAATGCCCATTAATGCTTACCATGTGTTTGAGTAAAAATCCAATCGGGACGCGTTCCACAAAAAAAATAAACTAAACTCCAAAACACCAATCACTACACAAATCACTCAAAGGTCCCGGAAGGTGCGCGGGTTTTGGTACCACCGCGAGTTTCTTCCGTCAACCGGCATAGGTGTTCTTCGACTAAATTCCCTATTTTAACTTTGAAGCGGTCAGGTACATTCTGAGGCAAAATATCATTGGAATGCCGCGGTTCAGATGAGTTTTGGACGTCGGAGGTACCATGCCGGAGCAGTACCCGTACCACTTAACTGGGCCACTACCAAGTACAATGCGTGCAGAAAGTTCGACTGTACTGGTAGTACTACAGAACGTGTTTTGACGTTCGGTATCTTAACGGGTACGTGGACTGTACCAAACTCAGGTGTGTTTGGTACCTAAGCCGAGGCTACATTCCGCAAGAAATGCGGCATTCCTATAAGAGAAAATCGACTTAGTCTCCAACAGAGGGTACCTGCGTGTTTCAAATTATCATTGCACCGTTTTTAATTCAGCTATGGTTCTCTTTTTGCGGCCGTGATTACTTCGACCGCCATTAGATGCCGAGATGCACCATCGCGTGGGTACCATATATGTCAAACGGGAACCAATGCATTTTCTTTAAACAAAAACCTTTAAATGTAGCTGGATCAAGTTCCTCAATCTTCACGAACTTATAAGAGGTGATCTTTAGCATTAAAGTCTTCAAAAAAATAATCATTCGAATGGTTGATAACACTTCCATAGACCGATCAACAATCTCACGAAGGAAACGCTCCATCGAATTATTTTCTTCCAGGAAATCTCTTGTTTTGCATCTTCCTTTGATATCAGTGAACTCCGACTCCATGGTCTCCTCCGCGTCTTCCATCAGCAAGATTTTGCTTATCGCCAATTTGCGCCGCTGGTTGAGTTGCCAGTGGAGGTAAAAGGTCACATTCGGAGCAATTTCTGCCAAAAATCGTCCACTTTGTTATCAGCAAAATCCTACTTGTGTTTCCTGATGCCCTCAACTCGAATTATTTTGGGTCTAAATTTATCTTCCCTTACTTCTCTGTTTGATATCAGTAAAATTTGAGTTTGGTGTCTATTTGCTTCGCTTCCGCAAGATCAGTTACCAAATCTGGAAAAAAACGACATTCCGATCAGTTTCTTCAAATTATTTTCAAAAAATTATCTCGCATTGTATCTCTTCGATATTAGCAAACTTTTTTGACTTCTTTCGTTTTTTGTCCGATTTGTTTTACGTCAATATTTGTCTCTTGTTATTTCTCTTGTTGGCATGAATAAAAAATCTGTTTTTTGAAAAACAAAGTTTAAATTGTTTTCGTCCAAAACTTATCTCGCTTTTATTGCATTTTACTTTGATATCAGCGAACTTTGTTTGGCTGCTCTTGTCTTTTATCCGAATTATTTCGCGGCCAAATTTGTCTCATCTTACTTCTCTGCTTGATATTCGCAAATTTCTGTTTGTCCCTATTTCTTTCTCTTTCGAAAGCTAAGTCRCCAGTTSTGGGAAAAAAACSAAATTCAGATCATTTTCGTCCAAAAATTTTCTCGCTTTGCATTTCACTTTGATATYAGCAGAGTAATTTTTTAGTTTYTCTTGCCTTTTRTMCGAATTAATTTGCKTYGTTGTTTCCTCTTACTTCTCTGTTTGATATCAGTAAAATTTCAGTTTGGAGCCTATTTCCTCCGCWTCCGAAGATTAGTTACCAGTTCTGGGACAAAGACCACATTCCGATCACTTTGTTCAAMAAATTCTCTTGCCTTATTTTGTTCTCTCGTTKTTCATCCRAATAATTTTGCGTSRAAATTCGTCTCCACTTATWTCTCTTGTCTTTTWKGTCTCTGTTTGTCTCCTATTTCCTCCTCCTCAWCCGTAARYAAAGTCGCCAATTATGRAAAAATAAATRAATAAATTCAGGTGATTTCCTYTMAAAAATTMTCTCGCATTGCATTTYACTTTTTTCTTCTTTCTCTTGTCTTTTATCCGAWTTTTTTTGCACCGAAACTTGCCTSTTATTATTTCTCTRTTTAATATCWCTGTAAAATTTCTGTTAGTCTCCTATTTCCTTCTCTTTCGTAAGCTAATTCGCCACTTCTGGATAAGAGGGAAATTCCGGTCATTTTTTTTCAGAAATTCTCTSGCAYTGCATCTCAACTTCGCTATCAGGAAACTCTTTTCTATGTTCTCTTGTCYTTTGYYCGAATTACTTTGCTTCAAAATTTGTCRCTTTCATYWTTAATRTCAGTAAAATKTCTGTTTGTCGCCTGTTTCTTCGTCTTTCGGAAGCTGAGGCGCCAGTTCCGAGAAAGAAGGAAATTCAGATCATTTCATTTCATTCAGATCATCTGCAATTGATATCTTGTAAACTCCTTTGTGACTTCTCCCTTTGCTATATTTCAAATTATTTCAGAATTTTCCTCTTTTTTCTCCTTTTCTTTAAGCTCTGTCGCCAGTTATAGTAAAAAACGAAATTCATGTCATTTTCTTCAAGAAAATCTCTCGCATTGGCTTCATTTCGAATTATTTTGCGCGCAGAATTTTCTTCTCTTACGTCTCTAATTGATATCAGCAAATTTATCTTTAACGCCTATTTCCGCTTCTAACGTTACTTGAATCAACCAGTTCTGAAAGAGAACGAGATAATTTTTTAAAACATTTCCCCGCATTGCTTCTTCCTTTGATATCAATAACCTATTTTTTGGCTTCTCTTTTGTCTTCCCCTGTCTAGATCTCCACATTTCTTCTGTCTAGATCACAACAATTAAATTACTATCTTTTCTCTCATAACATTTGATTTTGATACCAAAAGGCTTCTACTTGTGTTTTATTTTGTGTTTAATTCCTCCTATCACTTAGCAAGCAAATGGCAAAAAACAAATAACCAGAGGAAAATGAGGGAAATATGCAAAGTAAAAAAATGTCTGATTTTCGCATTTAATCGCTCGCTTTTAGTATTACAAAATTAACTCGAATCATTCGAATTCTTTCACCTTTGAACAAAAGGAAAATGAGGAGAAGATGAAACGTAAATCAAAGAAGTTTGCTTGAATACTGAAACTATATTTCAATAGAAGACAGTCACCGTTTCAGCACTTTGGAGCACAATCCAAACCGTTCAGCATTGAAAGAATGTCGGTCCCCTAATTCGCTAAGCCTGTTGTAAAATATCCAAATTGATGAGGGCCTCGGGCAGCGCAGGTTCATGTCCTTTTGCCGATGCGAAATAGGCTCTGGCCAGGTGAGTTTTGCCGCTCTTGTGATGCAAAACTGCCAAATTGTTAAAGGCCGAGGCATGCGAAGAATCCGCGCACAAACATAAATTCAGACATTGAATGGCCAGTGCGATGTCTCCGGCCGCCTGAAGCAAAAAAACCCATTCTCTCTTAACTGGTTCGCATCGTCTCAAATGGATCATGGTTTGTCTACTTGAACCCTCAAATAGATTCCAACTACATCCTGTAACATGTCTTCGGAAAAATGTAGCAAATTTGTATCCGACAAGCCTGAAAATCGCATTAACATAGGTATTCGCTGCCTTTATAGCAAGTAGGTAGTCCGGGTAGGTTTATATATATGGATGTGATGCAGACAGTTTTACATAAAACATCAAGCCCATTTAAAATTTAAATCGGCTTTGCTTCGAATCAATCTGGGGACTACAGAGAACAATAGAGGCAACGAGTACCGGGAACACTACGGGCAGCAAATGAATGAAATGCATAAGAAAAATGCGGTTGGATTTCAGTATTTAAATGAGCAGGTTTAGTTAAGGCCCAGCTGAACTTTCGACATATACAAAAGGCTTTACAAGCACCTGGTCAAACTTTACAGGCTGGTTCTTTGCGTCGTTTGTGAGGCAGAATTAAAATGTACACTTACGATTGCCACGTGAGATAAATTGTACCAAACATCAGCTTTGAGCAGTGGATCAGTAGCCAAATCCAGTGCTCTCTGGAAACAGGCCATCGTAAGATCCAGCTGCTGCGAGTAGAGGCAGCACAAGCCCAGGTTGTTGTACAACTCGGCCGAGTGGGCGCCCATAATCAACACCCTCCTGAAGATTTTGCCAGATTTAAGTGCTTTGGATACGTTGCTACTAACCTGCTCCCTACCTGTAATACCGTAGAGCAAGTTCTGGCTGATTGTTGTAGAAATGATACATTCCAATGCAGGCAATAGCTTCGGTGTTCATGGCATCTTCATTGACAATGCTTCGGTAATATTTTACTGAAGCCTGGGGCTCATTCAATGCTTCACTAAGTCGAGCCAGTTCGGTCATGATCGATACATCATTAGGAAAAAGTTCCAGCCCCTGTTTGCATACTTCAGTGGCCTTCATTGGCTGGTCTGATCAACAACAATTTCGACTTTTAAGCGTCTTTACTGCATACTCAGTAAAATCAGCTTACCGATTCTAATGTATAGTCTGGTAAGTCGAATGAAGCCTTCAATGTGCACATGTTGTTTTAAGGCGCTTTTAAGCTGCTGTTCGCCATCCCGAATGAGATTTAGAGCCAGATAGCATTTGGCTAGTTGCGTTTTCCACCACCAATCCTGCAAAAATCGAGCAGGAAATTTTCAATTCGATGGAAAACCTGTGGTTTTCTGCACGTAATTTATTGAATTACTGTCAAATTAGTCAATAATTGGTATTAATTGTTTTCGCCAATTTAAATGATTAGTAAACTTCCTGTTTAGTTTTACTGCTGTATATCTCTTCTTTACAGGATGTGTCTCCGTAGCAGAACTTTGGAAACCAATGGAGAATAGAAAAATCATTCGAGTTTAAAGAGAAAATTGATTTTTTGACCTTATCAGAGCCGTCAAAGATTGTAGAATTCAAAACGTGTTAATCTCAGGCATCTCCAAGTGAGCTCTCATCAGTTGCGCATGCCCTAAAAACTCCAATGCCTCCAAAAACCTATACTTCATATGTTTCTAACTTAGAACTACTTCCGCGCTGATGCGAAATACAAGAACTGCAATAAGTGTCACCTATTAACTGTTTACCTTATTTATTGATTAAATTAATACTTTTATTCATAAAAATTGTGGTGCCACTTTGTTTCTATTAATTCAACCTTTTGTCCAACACCGAGTTACCATTTATTTTTTGCTCAAAAACTTGAAACACTTTTCTATTGCAAATTGAATTACGAATCCAAAAGTGACTTATTTTATGAAAAAGCAGTACGCAATTTTTGAAAATTGAAAACATAATCCAATGCACCAGTTTCAACGGTTCTGGCAAAACAAAATTACTGCTGGCTTTTGCAAACCAAAAAAATATATTTCGATCCTGTAGCGGCTTCTAAAGTTTCCAAAGTTAAAACTGGGCAACCCCGTATAAAAAAATGACTCCTGTACTGAAGATAATTATTATTTTCGAAACGGTTTGTCATTGCTTTATCTTACTTAATATTCCCTTAATACATTTAAACTTGTAGGTACTGCTTGTACACTTGGTTTTTCTCTATAAACTAAATCAAATGTTTAATATTCCGCTACTTTTCTTACCGAATACAACCGTTTCTTTTTCTCTTTTTTTAAGTTTCTTTAATTAAATTAAATAAAAACTAATTGCGAAATAGAAAAATAATTTTTGGATCCAGGAACCCAACGGCGCGCTCTATTTTTTTCGTTATGGAGAATATTAAATGCTAAATTTTGCGCCAATTTTCTCGCAGAAACAACCGTTTTAATTTTTTTAATAAAAAACTTTGCATTTTAACAGAAAAACTCAAAAGAACTTTATTGCTCCATACCCCAACTGAATATAAAATTAAAAAAATATTTTTATTGCTAAAATTGCGGTAGATTTTTCGAACAATTAAACGGTTTTACATTTCTTATCAAAAATTGTACATTTTAGCAAAAAAATCAAAAAAAGCTTCTTTCTTCCCCACTAAATGTAAAATTGAAAAATTATTTCTGTTACTAAAATTTTGGTAATTTTTTCGAACAATACAACGGTTTTAATTTTTTTATCAAAAACTGTACATTTTAGCAGAAAAATCCAAAAGAGATTTTTCCTTCCGAACTGAATATAAAATTGAAAAATGATTTCTGTTACTAAAATTTCGGTAATTTTTTCGAACAATACAATTGTTTTAATTTTCTTATCAAAAACTGTACTTTTCAGCAAAAAAATCCAAAAGAGCTTATTTTTTTCCCAACTGAATCTAAAATTGAAAATATATTTTTATTGCTTCAATTGTGGAAAAGAAAATGCTAAATATTGTCTTACTTTTTTCAAAGAATACATCGGTTTTCGTTCTTTTTAAATCAAAAACTGTACATTTTAGCAGAAAAATCCAAAAGATATGTTTCCTTCCGATCTGAATATAAAATTGAAAAATAATTTCTGTTACTAAAATTGTGGTAATTTTTTCAAACAATACAACGGTTTTAATTTTTTTATCAAAAACTGTACATTTTAGAAAAAAATCCAAGAGCTTCTTTTTTCCCAACTGAATGTAAAATTAAAAACTTATTTTTATTGCTTCAATTGTGGTAAAGAAAATGCTAAATATTGCGGTACTTTTTTCAAAGAATAAATCGATTTCATTTTTTTTTTAAATCAAAAACTGTACATTTTGGCAGGAAAATTCAAAAGAGATTTTTCCATCCAAACTGCATATAAAATTGAAAAAATATTTATATTACTAAAATTGCAGTAATTTTTTCGAACGAACAACATTTTTTGTATCAAAAACTGTACATTGTAGCAAAAAAATCCAAAAGCGTTTTTTTCTTCTCAACTGAACGTAAAATTGAAAAATAATTTGTAATTGCAGAAAGCCGGCGTGTTCTGTTTTTTCTCTACTGAGCTTTGCTTAAATTTTGCGGGAATTTTCTCGCAGAAAAAAACGGTTTTCATTTTTTAAATCAAATTACATCAAAAGTACATTTAGCAAAAAATCTCAAGAGCAGAATTGAAAACTAATTTTTATTTGCGTTTTTTATTGCGATTGGTTTTTTTGGAGAAAATATCAAATGCTAAATATTGCGGTAATTTTCGTCAATAACGTATTTTTTATATTTAAGTGCATGTGCTGAATGTAATTTATTACACAAACACACCCTTTGGTAAAAAACCTCAATTTCTTACCTGAAACTCACAAGCTTGTGTGGCCAAAACAGCCAACTCCATTGCATTCCTCACATCGCCTTCATGATAAAACAGATACTCAAACAACGGCTTGTTCAGGCACTTGTTTTTGGCGTATTTCGACAAGTTCAAACGAGAAACTTGAATAAAGGGACCTTTAAACATAAAATTGAGCCATTTTGTTCACAAAATGGCTGCTTAATATTACCGTCCTTTTGGGTTAGCATTGCGGCAGTACCCAACCGAATGGCCCTCGCTGATTGGCCGGTGGCCCCTCTTGAGGTGCGCAAACGTTCCAGAGCAGATCCAGGCCTACCCGATTGCGTCCCTGGACGAACCACTCCGGACATCGGTCTTCCTGTGGAGGTTCTGGGTCTGGCCCTATAAACAAATATTTTTGGAAAATTCGCTCGAAGCTTAGGCACAACCAGAAGTTACCCTAGCGATGTCACTGGAACAGTATTTGCTGGGGTTTTCAACGAAGTCCCAGGACGTGGAGCAGTTGCGACAACACTGTTATCCAGAATATCCTCTTGGAAGGTTGTTTCTTCGCTTTCCAAGTCATCCACATATACCTATGAAGTGCAGTTTCGCCACTGAACAAACAAGCGAATAAAAGAGCACTCACCCGTTGAGTGAGCGCCCTCATTTTCAAGCACCAGGCGGCTTGGTCTAGAGGTTGTTTATCCAAAATGCTTGTACACACATCGATGCACTTATCGTAGTGTAGTCGGCGAAATAAACTGAGAGCCAAATACATGGGATCCATTTTTGCTACTGAAATATAGCAGTGTTTTGTTTTCATGAACCGTATCCAAGGGCAACTTGGATACGTGTGAAAAATCGAAACTACCAAGGCCTGTGCGTTAGTAAGTAATGAAAACTGAAGCCAGGGACTACTTGATAGTAGTAGTAACGAAAAAAGCCGTCAAACGTCAAACCCAGTGACAAACTGGTTGTGTGACACCTGTCACTCAACCCAGAAAAAATGGTAGTTTGACAGCAAATGAAACTGTCATTTTCAAAACATGTCCAAAACGAGTGAAATCCACTTAGGGAGACAGCCGTCCAAACAACGGCTCTTGCGTATTCCCCTGCGGGAATTTCGAAAGCAGAAAAAGGATGCAACTAAAGAGCTGCACGAGCTGCTGGATGAGACTGAGCTGGTCCAGATCAATGACTTGTTCAATAAAGAAGACGGCAGGAGGATGAGCAGGGAACAGCTGAAGGAGATGCTGGCGCGAGTGGCGAAAATCGAGTATCCCGATGAAATTTTCGAAAGGGAGTTTCTGCGGATGAACGCCAGTTGGTGAGCTTGGGAATGGAGAAATGGGTTTTTGATGGTGACTGCGTGTGATTTTGCAGTAACGGGTTGGTGACGTGGGATGAATTCATATCGTACTTAATCCTGGGGTTTGAACAGCAGGAGGTCAGCACCGAGTATAAAACTCTGGCCGCTCCAATTCCGATTGGGCCCACCATGGTAAAAAGTAACCATCGCCACCCTATTAATAGGGTGACGTTTTACCCAACGGGTAATTTGTCTGCACCTTAAGGTCTAGAGTAGTAGTTCAACAGTGTCCGTTTCATTTTTTTGTCCAGTTAAACCTGATCGGAGCAGCACTTGGCACGATGGCAGCATAATGACTTGCAGCCATGACGGCGTGATCAACTACTGGACGCTGGACATGACTCTGGAAAGACAAGTGCAATCCACTTGTCCAGAGCTGAAAATCCAGACCACTTGGGTCACTGATTTGGCGGTACTCCCAGATGTCAGCGTCATCTGCACATCTTCCAGTGAAAGAGACTTGCGGTAATAATGTGACCATCTCAAGAGCAGAAGCCCAAATAGATAAAAGTGATTGAGAAACTTTTTTCAAAAGGAGTCTGCATCTGTTGCAGCTTTTACGACACATCAGCTAGAAAGTTTGAGCTCCGAGTCATGATCACTACGCTGGACTATGCAGTTTGCACCATGTACTACAAGTTCTACGAAGACCCAGACACGGAATCCAAGCTGATTCTAGGAGATATGGGAGGAGGAGTCACCATTCTGTACATTAAAACCTTTGCCAGAGGTCCCTTTAAGTCCCAGCCTGGAATTCCGCTCCTTCATGTCCGCTGGGGCCAAGTGGTCAAGGGCCTAGTTGGGAATTTCCGGTACTTAAGAGGATACTACTGGGACAATGCGAAGACATCGCCTTTGAATGACACTTTACTTTATTTCTTGAAAATATTGGCTCGTAAATTTTTGAACTTCACACACCTCTACTAGATTTGAAAGACATCGTGCAAAAAGTGTTCTTATTTAGTTCGATTTTCGTGGACTTTTAGGGTGGTTCAATACCCGCACTTGCACACCGACTACGTTCGCCAAGTATCCTTCTACTCCACCTTGCACAGCGTGGTTTCATGCGCCCAATGCCCCAAGGCGGCCCTCCTGATGACGGACGTCACTGATAGCAAAAACGTTTACACCTACAAAATAGCGGCCGGAGTTTGGTGCTTTGATCTGGATGAAGTGACCCACATCGTAGCCACAGGTAGGTCGTAGCTCCCCATGGAAAAACTGGCCCTATGCAAGGAAACTAGGGGGTCCCGACTGTTTGATTCGCCTCTGGAACCCGTTTGTCCCACACCGTCCCACTTGCACCTTCTACGGCCACCACACCGGAATCGTGCAGCTGGTTTTCCAAGATAGCGGCAAATTGCTCTACAGCATGTCCAAAGATAAGTGCATCAAGGTGTGGGATATTTCGCTCCAGTCGTGTTTGCAGACCTACTTGGATTTGCCTCCAGAATTAGGGGAGCGAAGTGAACTGACTGCGCTCTACAATCCCGAATCCAGGCAATGGATCATTGGCAGTAGCATGATTGCGGTGATTCCTCTGAGTCCGAAACAGAGCAGTGAACACACCGATGGCAACACCCATTCTAGTGGGGTGTCGGTTGTTTTGTTCAATAAGCTGTTTAGAGTGATTGTGACCTGCGGCCTGGACAGCTACATTATAGTGTGGAACCCTTGGGATGGTAGGCGGTTGCTTGTGATCAAAGAGGGCCACACCCGGATGCTGCATGGTGAGATTATGAGTGTGGAAATCACTGCTGCCACTTTCGATCCGGGATATCAGCGCCTTCTAACTGGTAAGCACACTTCTCTGCAAGAAACTCTTCACGTTGAATGCTAGCTGGTGCAAAAGCTCCCAACTGAATTTCTACTTAGGCGCCCATGATGGCACATTGAAAATCTGGAACTTCAACACTGGCACGTGCCTGAGAAACATGAACATTGAAACTTGGTGTGAAGTTCAATGTGTGATTTGGGTGAACAGCCGCATAATGGCGATGGGATGGAACAAGCGTGTAACTGAGTTTGCTGATACTGGGGAAGCCATTGGCCCAGAAGGGGCTTATAGGTGAACATCTCCGATCTGCTTGAGCAGCTTTGGGTCATTTTCTTGTTAACTTTGCAGCAAGAATTGGGATTTGAGGCATTCGGAGGATATCAGTGCTGGGGCGGTGCGAGTGCCTGAAACCTTGGCCACCAGGTAAGCAAAACTCCTCCAGCTGGGCGAATTAGGCAATAAAATCGTAGCTCCTACGTGGGCGAATTGTTGCTCTGGCGCCTGGAAACCGGACAGCCGTACAAGAAATTCATCGTCTCCAATCCGACGGAAAGAATCAAAATCCAATTCACTGTGGACAAAGGCAAAGAAAGAAGGGACAGTTCAGGCTTCTTTATGGGGTAGGGATTTCTGAGCAATAATTTTCAAAAGCATTTTAATTTTGGAATTCATCCAAAGGAGCGCGTCGATGATCAGAAAAAGCCTCTCAGGAAAGAGCAGTCGCAAATCCTCCATGTTTAGCACACATTCCAAAAGATCCACGCTGCTTCCACCCCAAGAAAGAATGTTAAGTGGTCAGCAATTAACCAATTGAAACGCCTATTAAAAATGGCTATATGCGCATTATCCGATATTTTGTCAGGTCCGATGATTATGGGCCGCAAAGGAAGACTGTCCACCGTGCAAATACCAGACGAATGCTTCAACTTGCGAAGACTGGCCGTTCATTGCATGCTGTTTCTCTGCTCGAGGAAGAGCGACCCGATGGTTGGGACGCTTCTGGTGGCGTTGGAAAATGGGGTGGTGCAAGTGTGGAACCATCACATTTCGGGCGGATTTATCACGTCGTTTTCTGCCGTTCACAAAGCGGGCGACTATGTGATTTCTATGGCCACTGATGACCAGAACGAGTTTCTGTTCATTGGTAAGCATCATTTCATTAGTTGAGAACTAAGCTGAATCTGAAAAATATTTTGTCGGGGGCGGTTTCTTCTTTGAGCGCATATTTAGGGTATTTTAAACGGCCGGATTTCCTCACTCTTTTATACAGCATGTCTGCGTAATTTGCTTGCAACCATATGGAAAATATTTTTATTTTTTATTTAGGACAACAGTGATTCGTGACAGCACCAAACCATCCATTGAATAGACATACCGCGTGTTAATTTGAAACATTCCCCCCCGTAATATCTTTCTTGCAGCTAAAAATATGAAAAATCGGAAATACCCGTCAATTTTATTGCCAATCAATTTTTAGCCCCTTTCTTTCAACCCCTTAGTAGGGGTAGATGTCACCCAAGTATCTTAAATGGGAAGGAGGGTCAAGTGGCACATCGTTTAAAAGAGCGTTTAATTCTCTTTACATTAGTTACTACTTTGTTGCTTCTGGTCCATAGGTTTTCGAATAATCGCGTTTCAAAGTTACAGAAGCAATTAAACTTGCCTGCATTGAGATTTTGCTTTTCAGATTAGTGTTTAAACAATAAGTATGCCATTGGGACTCCTTATGGTACAAATTATTATTATTATATTAATTATAAAATCGTTGAATAATAGGAAGAAAAGTACTTTAAACAATAAAATTCAGATTTATTGATTATTTTACAATAAAACCCATGAGGTCTACTTACGCATTATCTTAGAAGTTGTTCAAAATGTTGTCTATTTTCATGTAAACAATAATAAAGTATATTTTCGAACTCTCCCTAACATTGATAAGATAATTCAAATTCATTCCTGGGTTTCAGTCATTTATTGTCTCTATTTATTAATCAAAATATTTTGATTTTTGATTAATAAATAGAGACAATAAATGCCTGAAACCCAGGAATGAATTTGATTTGGAATTGAAACACAGTCAGGAAAGTATATACAATGATTGATAAGATAGTCCCGGATAGCTCGATTGGCAGTAGGGGACCAATTGAATGGCCTCCCAGATCATCGGATTGGGCACCCTTAGACTTCTTTCCTTGGGAACATCTTAAGTCCATTGTTTATAAAACACAACCTGCTGATATTGATGATCGTAGTCCATTGTAGCAGAATACCGGTCAATTCCCGGTGAAGTTTTCTGAAATGTTAGGGAAGAGTTCAAAAACAGACTTTATTATTGTTTACACGAAAAATGACAACATTTGAACAACTTATAATATAGTGCCTAAGTAGGTCCCGACTTTTGTTCGTGAACCGGAGAAACAACTTTTTAAAAAAGCACAAATTACAGGTCTTTATTGGAACGTAAGACAAACTTAGAGAAATAAAGCGATTTTACAGGGATACGTTCGTTTAAATAGAGGAATAATGCTGAGCTAGTTGCTGATGTGTATCCTGCCACGTGTGGTGCGTGGGCTGGTTGGGTGCCTTAACTCCCGTAGGTTTTGTTGTAGACATTTATTCGCAAATAAAAAGTTATTTTTGTCGATGTAAAAAGAAGTATCTAATGGAAAGAGAATTGAACGCCCTTTAAAACGATGTGCCACTTGACCACTCTTCCCATTTAATATTCGCAGGGTGACATTAATATTCTCAGGCTAAAAATACTCATATTTATTTAAAATGTCCCTCTTACAATGAAAATTGACGGGTTTTTCCGATTTTTCATATTTTAAACTGCAAGAAAGATATTAAAGGTGGGAAGTTTTCACATTGACACCCGGTAAATCAATATACTCCAATAATAGACAATTAATAGTAGAAGCATTCAATTAAAAAAGTGATAAAACTAAGACCCAAACCCAGCATCAATACGACCAGCGGCCCCCGAAACTCTTCGGTTTTTAAAACTTTCGAATGCTTATCGTGGTTCATAGCAACGTTTCGCCTATAAGGCAGCTTGCTGGTGCTCTCCATCTGTCTGACGAGTAACGCCAGATTCTCCAGCTGGCGCAGGTAAGGAGACTTGCCCTTTGAAACAAACCCTCCATATCCAGTGCGAACGCATCTATCCAGAATGCGGAAGTTGAATCGTTTGTTACGATTGCGTAACCAATGGGACAGTAGTTCCAGTTGCGAATTAGGGGCGATAAATGCGGAGTCTCCTTTTCCTTCCAGGACTCGATCCATCCATTCGACCCTCCCTACTACAGTCACGTTCTGGATATCGGGCATTGGGAGCCAGAGAGCGTAAACTTTTAAGGGACTTTGCCCCAGTTCCTCAAGAGTGCTGATGCCGTGCTTGTAGTGGTTGACTAGGGCGATGTTCAGGTTGATCAGGTCCACTATGGTGCCGTAGGTGATGCACCAAAGCATCCAAGAGCACTTGATGAAGGATTTTTCGCTGATAAAGCTGGGCTGGGAGGTTCTGAACTGAACTGCCACAAACCCCAGCAAGTCAAGACGCTTGGATCGGCGCGTGAGGTGTTTGTTCAAAAACGCAGCCAATAGAGTGACTGCCACACTTGCAGGCAACACTTCTATTATGAGAGACTGTGCAAATCGCTTCCATTTTTTCACCATGGGCGGATTGGGGACCATCACTGCCCAATTGTCCATGATGTGCGGGTTCAGCAATGCCACCTTCTTCGAGTACTTCTTCGGGACATCGATGCCATCCGCTGTGAGGGTGTGCGGGTACAGCTCAATGTTCTCAGAAGCCAATCGCTTGTAGATGTAGCTGTTAAAAGAGCGGTTCTGGTCGATTTTTACTTGCAGCAGAGTGAGGTTGAAGTACTTTGCCAGCGATTTTGCAAAGTTGTACTCAAAGTTGGAGAATTTGCCAGCTGCGGACATCGCAGTCGTTATCGTAAGCACCTTGAATGGATATCCGTGCATGTTCTTCAACTTGTCGGGAAACTGCTTGAAGCCTGGGTGCATTTCCTGGATATCTGTTATATCGAGCCGTCCATCAAACGGATTGAAAGTGGATACCTTTAGAGTCCCATTGGGGTAAACTATTGCAAAGTCCAAAATGCGGTAACTCCAGATTCGTCTGGAAGCCGCCCTCACCCAATCAGGATCTCGTATGGGGGCGCAGATAATAAAGCTGTATTTGCCTCGGTTGGAAAAATAATCCGACTCCACCATCTGTTGCAGTTTCCTGTTGAATTGATCCTTCGAGCCCATGGTGAGAAACGAAACCGAAGTGTAGGTATCTTTCAGATTAATCCCATGGGAATAATCGGACACAAACTTGGTGCATCTGGTCGTTTTGAGGTACCCAGTGATCAAATCGCCACAGAAAGTGTCTTCTGGACTGACGAAAGCATTGCACATGTAGAACGGCGCCAGCGGCTTGGTATACTCGACGTAAAGCTTCAGTTCGGTGCTCAAGTTTCCTAATTTTAAATCGGCGTAGCTTCTAAAACCTTCACGGCTCCAAACTTGTGGCAGGAGCAAAGTGATGAACAAAATCTCCATCACTCAAAGAGCTACTGGTTGAAAGAGCACTGCGACAGGCGGGAATGGATGGACTTTTCCAAAGGTGCATTAGTTGATGTTCCAGAACCTTAAATGGCAGGAGCACTTTGCGGTGTTTGCTAAAGATTTTAGAACGGTAATATATTATAAATCAAAGTGTCAGTGTTCGCTTCCAGACAGCTTTTCTGATAAATTATTTCCTGGAAATCGATATGCAATTGACTGAGGGAGGCGGGAGGCAGGGTTTCCCATTGAAGTGATTATGAAAAGTTTGAATATGCTGACAATCCTCTTAGACAAGTGTTTTTGAATCATCCACCAATTTTTTTGAGCCACCACTTCCACTATGCACAAAAGCAGTGAGGTCCAAGAAGACAGAAGCAAAGGACTTTTTTTCTTACTAACAATCCAATAAAACAAAAATGTGCAAGTGGCCCTTTACTCCAATGCGAATACGTTTCCTGAGGATTAGGAATCATTGCAAAGAGAAGAAATAATGCCTTTGAACTTCCTATAGGCAATTTCCAGCAAAAAAGCCACGCTTGCTGTGCACATCCCAGTCATCCAGACAGCAAAAATTCCCAAAAAGTCTTTAAACACCAGAAACTGATTGGATTCCCGTGTCAACTGATCCGGCTTGTAGCGATAAGGCACCTCAACAGTGGCTCCCATTTGTGTAACTCTCAAAATCAACTGCTCCAGCTTATGCGCGTATGGAGACTTGGCCTTGTATAGAAACGCTCCATATGCAGGCACCACAACTTCTTTGAGCATTTGGTAGTTGTAAGGGCGGCGAGTGTTGGCATGCCATTTGGCAATTTTATCGAACGTTTCTTGAGCGCCTATGAAAGCGGCGTCGCCCTTGTTTGCCTGGATTTTGTCCCTCCAGGCTGTCTTCCTCAAACGGGTAACATTGTATTCTGGAGGCAGAGGGAAATCGATGGTGAAAATGGGCAAGTTGAATGCTCTGAGGTCGCTCAAGGAGTCAATGGGCTTTTCGTATCGGGGCACCAGAGCAAAGTTGAGCGCTAGAATGTCGTAGAAGATGCCAATGAGGACGCAGCCGAGCAGCCAGACAATCTTCAATGGAGATTTCACTTGGACGAAATGAGGCAGAGAGGATTTGAGACAAACTGCCAAAAATCCCATTAGGTCTAGTGTTTTGCGGGTGGGTGAAGCAAACTTGTCTAATGAAGCCATCATGAAGCTGATGCTCAACAGCAACGGAATCACTACAACCAACAGCATGGTGAAGAAGAAGTGCAGCTGAGAAATTTGTTTGGAATTTGGTACCAAAGCCATCAAGCTGTTCATAGTGTTGATGCTCAAATGGCTCACTGACTGGCTGTAGTTATTTGGAACCCAATGGAACCCCACAGACTGAGTAAAAGGCACCAGCTCAATGTCCTCTGTTGAAAGGCGAAGAAATAAAGTGTCCATAGAGCTTTGGTCTTTGGCGATTAGTACCTTGATGAGTGATATATTCAAGCATTTCTTCAACGCATACACAAAGTTTGTGTCAAAGGAATAGCTGTACTCGATACTAAATGTTACATATCGAGGTATATCCAGAATTTTTAGCGGATATCCTTGCATGTCGCTCAGAGTGTCTGGAAATTCTGGACTCCTTTTCAGAATTGCGTCAACGATATCCAGCTGCCTGTTGAAAGGATTGTAGCTGGCAAATTTGAGTGTAACATTCCAATACAACATCACAAAGTTTGCTATGCGCTTATTCCATATCTTCTCGCATATTTGCAGAATCCATTTCTCGTCGCTCACCGGTGAGCAAAAGGCAAACTTGTAGTTTCCTTTATTGGTAAAATATTTGGATTGGACGAAGCGTTTGAAGTGCTCTGCAAAGTTCTCGTTCTCTATGATCAACACTGTTACCGTAGAATAAGTGTCTTCAATATGCGATACATTGATGCGTGTGGATATGTGCTTGGCGCATTTGCTGGCCTTCAGGAAAGCACTCCAGATGTCGTTACAGGATTTTCCGTCAGATAAAACAAACATATTGCAAGTGGTGTAGGGGTTTTTCGGCCTGGTAAACTGAGTGTAGGTCTTCACCTGTTTGGCCATTTGGATCGGTTCACTACCTGGAAGCAATTCACACAAAGATTCACGGAAACTGACTAGAAGAAGCAAGAAGAGGTTGGCCAGAGTTTCCATGCTGGAGGTGTTCATTAGCTCTTTGCGGGCTGGTGACTGAGGGTGACGCAATTAATTACAATTAGTGATTTGTCGATTGGTTAAAGGGGGCGGTTAGCTGTGTTATTTTTCAGCTTCTGTTTGATTTCCAATATGAATTTATTTGCGTAAAGACACAACAGAATATGATAATTATAGTCGTTTTCCTTTTGGGTTGCTGGTGTTTTTATTTATTAAGCAAGCGATGGGCTTGATAAGGCTTTAGGTGTTAATAAGAGTTGACCTTTTAAATGTGTTGGTTAATCTATAGTTCTAGGCCTGGGTAACTCAGTGAATTTTTAGGAGTTGGCGCAGTGCCACGCAAATGGCTYGGTGCGCCAACCCCACGCAACGGYGCGRTGACTCAGTTTCGTTGCTGGGAAAATATTGATAACTTTTTACTTGTTTTAGATTTATTTTAAGGGCCATTTATTAATAWYATTTTYAAAATTTCTTMAAAATTTTGGAATTTTGCAGTTTTAGCCAAGTTACTCTTTCTTCTAAATGCTCAATTYCCAGTTTCCCTTAAAAATGCTGACAAACTTAAGGTATTTTCCACGMACAATTGTGAGATAMATTTCGAATCTTTGGTCGCTTTGTAAAGAGTTTTGRAATCGYTTTCCAGCGAATTTGGAACAAAATTCAAAYCATTTTCTATCAGAAAACGAACAGAATAAGCGAATGTTTATAACAGATTATTTGTTGGAAATCTCGTCACCTCAATTCCTATGAAGACTGTAGATATGTAAAAAAGTKWGTKAGTGTAAAAAATGTGGCTTATTAGTTTGGACTGAATTTTTTTTTTGCTTTACTTTCTACTCAAAAACGCTCTATTTTGTAGAGCATCACTTAAAACATCACGAAAAATRACAAGATAAATTTATAGCTKKGCAAACAKTTTTCAAAAATTTTGCTAAACGTCGAATTCGTGACAAWAACGAARATAAAATTCTCCCGTTTTTACCCGAAACCCGTTAAGSTTTKCTCCTAAACCGATCACGAAACTAAAAGTTGGTTTGCAGGGAAYCTCATTCATCGGTTTGCAGGGAACTTTAGAAAWCCCTTTGCAGCTTCGAATTTGGGTCAATTTATCTTGAAAAAAATATKTGGAAAATTCGCCGCCCTCATCGCTCTGAAATTTGYAGAGTTTKGTTAAATTTTCAGATCATTACAGTGTTAACAAAGTTTATTTTAAGCAATTTTTTCTACGCAAAATTGCATTATTTTTTAGTTTTACTTAAAATACTGACAATCTTTAGCTATTTTCTGTCAAAAATTATAAGATACATTTTATTRGARMACTCGCCTCYTTAACCYCTTTGYAAAMATTTTTWRAAAACTKTTTGATGCTTYGAATTATGGACAAAGTTACTCAGAAAAATTGTTAATGATCATTGTTTAGATGTRAAAATTACAGTCTCGGGTCTCGTAAAGTTTTAATAAATGACTTATAACTCATYARCCGATGAGTCATAACTCGTTAACTCAGAGAGCGGCAACAACTGAACGGCGCAACTCMACACAGTGTTATCCAGGTCTATATAGTTCTGATCTGTGGTGGARGTGCTTTTCTCGAAAAATAAAGAACTAAGCTTTTTTTCTTTCAGTTTTCTGCTTTTCTGAGCCAGTTTCKTTCGATTTTTTCAACTAGGATYACGAAAAWGTTTMCTTMATTTCTTAGCAGAACATAATGTAGTTTAATTTTAATAARGTCGATTCTTTCGGCTATCTGATCATATTTACCAGTTCTTGCTTGCTACTTCGTCCATAGTTGCAACAAAGTTTTAARGRAAATAAATCCCGGAAATGGAATTTTATAGTTAAAAAYTGAATTTTTKAACAGAGTAGAGACTTCCAATAAGTTGTCCAAAAGTGTYCATTTGGGAAATGTATATCGTGCAAAAATAAAAATATTTCCTACAAATGAAGACTTTTTAACGTAGAGAACATAAGGAACGCATTTTAAATGTTAGTCTCTTCAAAAGTCAATTTAAAATTGATTTTGAATGTGGCGATTTGGTGTCAATAGATTTTTTGAATGCCATTGTTTTAGCGCTGTTCAATTTTTAATCGCAAATAGCTCGAAAACGCTTACAGATATCGAAATGCATGAAGTATGGCTTTTCTGAGTAGAAATGTGAAGTCTTTAATGCCAATGAGAAAAACTCTTTTAAAAATCATGTCCAAAATAAATAATCCGGTATTTCTACACACTGTTGCAAAAAGTGGCGTCTCCAACAAATATGTTTAAATTAATAATAATTTCGAATTAAGCACATAGGAAACTGTATAAGCTGCTTTATGAAGGTCTATGGCAAATTTTATTACAGAAAATGCTTGTTTGCACATCCTGAATTTCATAAACGAGTAATAGTTTGATAAGGCAACCTTGTCTCAAATGCGCTAGTTCTAACTATTATGAAATCTGCTCAATATTCCCTTAGATATGGGACACCCTGTATATTAAAAGGCGCCTATCATATATATTTTAGAAAACGCAATCTCTTAATCTACGATTGGGGGATTTTTGCGATTCGCACATTTTTCTTATAGGAGTGCATTTTTAACATCTGTTTTCCAACTTGTTGGTTTGGCACCATTAAAGTGTGCGGTTTTACCGATAATGGCGCAAATGTTTTGCTTTCGGTCATTCACTCGGATAAACAAAATGCTATAATTTCTATCACTAAAAATGTTGTATTAAAAAATGCTAAGGGAAGCTTGAAAAACCTGTTAAACCACAAGATGGAGATGGCCACAACCACTGCAAGTATGTAAGAGCAAATGCCTCATTTTATTAAATTTCCGTCGGGATTTTTGGAAATTGATTTCGTGAAGCTACTTTTTGTTGACAAAGGAATACAATTCTCTATTTCTCCGTCATTAAAACTTCGAACAGTATTTTTCTTCGAACAAACTCCCGATAGTTCCACCAGACAATTTTGTGGGAAATGACCATCTGTTAAATTTTTTTGGACAAAAATAATTGTTTTTTTTTAAGTTTTGCAGTTCAAAATAGACACTGGATAAAGTATGCAATGTACAGGGTGTCGGCCCAACCAGTGATCAAAAAGGGTAAGGCATACAGAGAGCGCCAAAGAAACAACAGATTTTTCTATGGGGCTTTATTGCAAACTGTTATAAGATTTCCATTATTAGTTTTAAAATTGTTACTTTAAAAGTGATGTAATGGTGACAATTAAAGTAACGTTTATGGGTGTTGATTGTTATTTATCTTATAAATCACTTGCTTATCAGCAATGTTGCCTAAAACTATTGCTATTAATTGCACGTGGCGTAAGTGAATGTATACTGTTTATTTATTTTATTTGGAGCAAGTTCTTTGGTATGTTGTGGTGACAAGGATGGTGTCCTTACAGGCGTTTTACGCGTTTTTTTGCGCCAACTTCCGCGTAAATCAATCCATTGCCGAGGTTAAAAACATAGCGAACAAACAGGACAGTTCGGCTGAAGAACTTAAAAAATAAACACATTCTAAATACAAATTAACAAAAATCCTTTGCAACTAACGGCAAAGGGAAAATCGCTTTATGGAATTGAAGATGAGCTTAAACAGAGTGTCTTCTTTGATGACTGATTCAACATTTACTACAGGAACAACCGCTGGCTACATTAAGACATGGCTAATGAAGAACTACTGCATTTTACCGGAAGATAAAGAACACCTCTGCATGCCCAAATACCGGCTCATGTTCCCTTTCATGTGGGGAGATCGCTTTATCGGTAGGTTTTTAATGAATGTTTCAACAGTGCAAATTTCGAATTGCGTTAACCTCAGACACCCCCAGGACCGGTTTCGAGCTTATTAGCTCTCATCAGTTGAGTTCAACCTGAAATTAATATATTAACATCGACGCGGAATGGCATACAGGTTTCGGAATATAATTTCAGTTTGAACCACCTGATGAGAGCTAATAGGCTCGAAACCGGTCCTAGGGGTGCCTGAGGTTAGCGCATTTCGAAATCTGCCTATTTCAAAAGCTCATGATGGCTCTGCTGATGCCGAAAGCATTTCATTGTTCGGGGCAAATTTCGTTTTTTTCCTTTTAGGAAGGGCAAGAAGGATGATTGCTGGCCAATTGGAGCCTGTCCTTCTCAACAGCTACAAGGGGCATTTCATGCCAGTTTCAGGGTTGACTTATATTGAGGAATGTCGCATTTTGATCAGGTAATTAAAACCAGCTGCTGCAGGAGGTTTTTTTAAGGCTGCTGGTGTAGTTGCAGCGCCGATTTCAGTGCGAGAATGTGGACTTTAGGAGGTCGGTACTTGCAAACCATCGGCACTTTCAAGCCCTGGAAAAAGATCGGGGCGGATGGCCAGTCTCTAGCTGATGATTTTGACTACACGATTCCTCCGGATATTAAGCGAATCGCCAGCTCCACTACTCTACGAGTGAAAATCGTGCATTTGGCTCCTTTGGCGCAATTTTAGAGGGTTTGTCGGCAGGTTTTGAGCGGGGGCTCATTCCCCAAGCGACTCACCATCAAGCAACTGCAGAAGCAGGCGCAAAAGGACCTCATCCACATCGACCACAGCAAGATTTATGGCAGTCGGCTCAAAGAGCCGATACTGGGCCATCATTACAATGTGCCTGAGAGGACTACGCATCCGAAGGACATTAAATTTGACACCACTTTCCCACATGTACGTTTCTAGAACTATTTCCTACAGGTTCTAAATAGTTTCTGGCCTGTTAGATTCCAGTATATCAACACCTGGTCATGCCACAGCCCAATCCCATCCAGGTTCCTGAAGTACCTGATGATATTCCTGCTAACATTAAAGTGGAGGAAGAAGAAATCTAGACTTCGACTGGTTTTTATTCGACTTCCTATGTTAATAGTTTGCACGTGAAAAGAACAGCGGATTAAAGTGCGGTGGGAATGGTTTTGACCTTTTCATACACCTCTTGAAGACTGTGCGCTACGTAGTCAGGCTTAAGATCTTCATCAAATGCCCAATCTACTGCTTGCTGCTTCTTGGTGTCTCCTGTTAGCAGCAGCAATGTTTGGAAGCCCGACTCAATACCAAAAGTGATATCAGTGGAAATACTGGAAATTCAAGTTATCTTATCAATTTTGTGGATGTTTGGAGCAAGCAATTCCAATAACGCGTTTTACTTACTTATCGCCTACCATCAGGACCCGATTATCTTGGGAAATTCCAAATTTTGCGTCTATAACTTCCTTAAGCACCCGACCAGGTTTGGCTAGCGGGATGGCTTGGACGCCGCTCCATCTTTGGAGCCCATCGATGAAATACTTGGGGCCTAAAACGCCCATTTTTCTCCACTTTCCAGCTCATCCGACTCTTGGCTTACCTATTAAGCTAAAGTTCTCTCCAATAGGGATTCTATCGTCAGACGTTCCAGTGAGGAACTGAACGTCATCCATATGTTTTAGAAGAATTTTCGCTACATGTACTGCCATATTTTGGAGATTTATGTCCAAATCTGCATAGACAATCCCTACGTTTTTGCAGGCATCTAATACTCTAAGGGATACTTGCATGGCGCTGCTTAGAGTTTCTTCTACATCTGTAGTTTGCAGATCCTGAAGAAAAATGCTTCTATATACATAATAATCCATCAGGAAATGAGATTGAAGCAGCCATAGGACAGAAATGTTAAAAGCTTCGTAAGCTTTTGGATGGAGGATAGATGCAAATACTCTGGAATTTTTTTAGCGATCATGATGTGAGTGGAAATGTGATGTTTCAACCAATTTTGCCCAGGAATGGTTGAAAATGTTGATTGCTCAGAAGCAACAGCTTAATGAGCCATTTACTCTAATTTGTTCCTAAATAGGCAAAATAGGTATACAAAAAATCTAGCAGACACACCATTCAGGGATTTGGGGACATTAATTGCTTGAATTCTGCATGGTTTGTGGACTTCCAAAAGGGGTTTGGAAAAATTAAATACCAGAAATGCTGAAAGTACTGAAAGGCACCCGATTTGCGAATAAAAATACAAAAAATTTTCCAAGTTTCCACAGGGAGGATGCAAAACAATATTGCCGGTGAAGCAAAAAAGGCATTTAACAACCTCTTGTTTGATATTAAAATATGCCTTTAGAAGATATATTTAAAAAGCCCGGGAAAAAAAGGTTAAATAATTTCGGCTGTGCAGATGATACAATCATGTTTGCATATGATATAGAGGATCTATATAAAATCGCTGAGGAACGAAAGCGGACGATGGGTTGGTTGCAAAAAAATGGAATATAGCGATTTCTACCTTATACTCTATGACAGAGTATCCGGCCTCTCTAAGCATCTTCTTCGTGAAGCGGCTTCCGATGATATAAATCGTCTTCTGGAAGTCGATCTTCTTCAAATAGGCCAGCAGAGTTATGTTGGGAGTAACGATTTCCTCTAAGGAGGCTTGGAAAGGGATCAACTTGGCTTTGAGGACTTCTGGTGGAGCAATTGCATTGTTCGTGACAAAGCAGATCTTTTTTCCCAGCTGCCTGAATTTCCCCACTGCATCGACGGTGCCGGGCAGGATCGTTGACGCTCGCGCTAAAACTCCTAATTTAAATAAGTAGTAAATCATGGTTCATTAAGGAGAAAGTACCATCGATGTCGAACAGAATTGTATCCACAGACTTCAGGAATTCTCGCAGCTCGTCACTAGACAAATCACTTATCCAGTTCAACTTGGGCATCTTGTTTAGAGCAAACGTGCGCAACCACTACTCATACAACTATAATTTTGTCAAGTAGGAACCAGCCGTTCCGGTCACACTGATGTGGTTTGTGAAAGTGATAAAGCCAAGTGAAAGGTTGGAGTTGACTGGCATTGAACCGCACTACTTAATAAATATCCACCTGTCTCGTGAACAAATACTGGCAACTTAAAAAAAAATCAATTAACAAGTTCTACGCTAAATTTTATCTCATGCTTTCAATTATTGCTAAAGTAAACAATGGAATCTGATTCTTATCCGCAAATGCGGTAAGATTAGAAGGAATGACAAAGTTGCTCTTTGTAACTAAAAGTTGCCCAACTCAATCGCTTAAGTGAGCGCAAAATTGTGCGATTTATGTAAATCGTAAAATATAAAACCCTACAGTACAAATAAAAAATGTAATAATTTTTTCGTTCAAAAAATAGCTTCAGTTTAGAGAAAGAAAAAACAGGAAACAAGCAACAATTCATACAAAAATGCAAGTGTTTTCTACTGAAAAAAGAAAAATGCCCGAAAACGAACAGGCAACTTTGCAGAAGCAAAAGTGCAAGATTATGCCAAAATTTCATGTTTTCTTTCCCGTTTTTGCTCATTTCTCGGAAGCAAAATGAGCAAGAACGCTCATTTTTACATCATTCCAAAGAGAACTAAACGTCTTTATAGAAAGTGAACCATCGATAAGGAAATGTTGGCAGTTTTCTCAAAAGAGTCGTGATTTCAAGAAGTTTTAGATTTGCGTGTTTTTTGAGTTGCAAAATCAATTCAAACATGACGCTGCTTTTTTCGAAGTTTCTCAAGCCCCATTTGAGCCACAGAATTTGTTTTGGCATCGTTGGATAGAGAATTCGAAATTCGATTTATAACAACATGAGTGAGGAAACTCGAATAGTTTTGACCCAGAAAGCGAAATTTCAATATTAAACACTGAAGTGCAAGATTATGCCAAATTTTATGTTTTGCGTCCCGTTTTTTTCTGTAATATGTGCATGTAAAAATGAGCGTTTTTCCCTGTACCCTCTATTTGTAATTTTGTAGTTATTGCTGAAGGAAATGAGGACCTGCAAAAATCAGTATGAGTTAGATCATCAAAAAATGTTTGTTTTTAATGTATATATTTTTTAAATCTGTTGGGGATTCAGCTTAAA